ATCGTTCAGTTATTGTCAATAAAATACCTTCATCTGTGTTCAAGTCAAGCAGCATTCCTGCAAACTTCAGGGATTTTTTTTTACGTTGAGTTTTTTTCCTGCTTTACTGGCAGTTTTCTTTGCAATGCCAGCCAGCGGGAATATTCCATTCCTTTCAAGCTTTGCATATTTCTAAATCACTCTTTCATTATCAGCTTCAGCTTGTTTATCAGAGCAAGTTTTCCACATCTCTGCTGTTTACCTTCAGACAGTTTTTAGGTTTTTGTTTATCTCTGCTGGAAGAGTCCATGTTTATTTCTTGTTTTTGAGTTTAATAATTCATAAATTTAGAGAAAGTATTCTATCCTGTTTTGGTATGCTGCTATTAAATGGAACCTCTTCCCAACAACTTCCTTATCATCCTGCTTGTATAATAAACTTGGGGTTTAATTTGGTCATTTGTCACAGTTCCAATAGTTTTAACCTTTTTTTCCCTTCACTTATTGTTTTCCTTTTCTTTTCCTTTTTTATCCAGTTATTACATTAGCAAAATAACAAAAAGAAGAGTAAAAGTGACTGGTGTATGCACAAGTTAGGGACAATTATTTCGACAGTTTTTGTATACTGTCCATTTCTCCCACAGGTTTTCCCATTTTGATTGTTGATGTTTTAACAGTATGTGAGTTTTTTTATGTTCTAGATTTTCCAGTTATCTAATGGTGGGGAGTTGGTATTGTACCTTTTCTGGGCAATTGCCTTTGTTTGAGGCTCCCAACAGAATCTTATACAAATATCGGTCATTTTTTGGTGTGGTGATTGCTGCTAAGCATCCCAGATATAGAACTGTACATGTTTCAGGTACATCATAGTGTGGGGTAGTCTGAACTTTCTCTTTTTCTTGGGCGTTATGGAAAACCTTACAATAATTTTCCAACAAAATCTTTTCCATATTCTCGAACTAGATGTACCTTGTTGCATCTCTCAAATATCGTACCACAAGTCACTTATTTCCACCCCTAATTCTTTTCCCGTTTATCTTTTATGTATTGTGTGTAGTCTTGCTGTTAGCCATCAAGCTTTGTAGAGTTTTGATATAAATTTTCCAGGTATGTTTTTTTATATTACTTTACTAATATTTCTGTAATTGCATTTATTTCTCCTGGGAGACCTGGTCGTGCTTTATTTTAATACTATTTTTGAATCTGAAGATACATATAGAATTCTTGTTTATCTAAATCAAACTCTTGTTGTACAGTCTAATAACTCTGGTAGCAGAAATTATAGTCTTTGGACTGGAGTCTTCATTTCATTTGGATGGGATTAAATTGATCTCAGATAATAAAGTAAAAAATCTTGCTTTTATTTTTGATCAGGACCTGTCATTTAAATCATTTAAATTAAAAAGAGGTTTCTAGAATTTCCTTCTTTCACCTGCAGAATATTGCAAAAAAATTAGAAATCTCCTGTCCAGGGGTGATGCTGAGAAACTAGTCCATGCATTTGTTACTTCAAGGCTGGACTATTGTAATTCTTTTCTATCAGGAAGTCCACAAACTGTAGTTAAAAGCCTTCAGCTGATCCAAAATGCTGCAGCCAGAGTTCTGGTGAAAATTAAAAAGAGAGATCATATCTCGCCTATCCTGGCTTCTCTTCATTGGCTTCCTGTTAAATCCAGAATAGAATTTAAAATCCTCCTTCTCACATATAAAGCCTTAAATGGCCAAGCTCCATCTTATGTCAGAGATCTGATTGTTCCTTATGTTCCTAACAGAGCACTTTGCTCTCAATCTGCAGGTTTACTAGTGGTTTCTAGAATTTCTAAATGTAGAATGGGAGGCAGATCTTTTAGTTATCAGGCTCCTCTCCTGTGGAACCAAGTACCAGTTTTAGTCCGTGAGGCAGACACCCTGTCTACTTTTAAGGGTAGGCTATAGTTGGAGAGGCTCAGGTTATCCTGAGCTATCTCTATAGTTATGCTGCTATAGGCTTAGACTGCTGGAGGACATAGGGACTCCTTTTTCACCACTCTGCAGAATTTGTTAGTTCAGTCTCTATTGTTATGCTCTCTGCTTTTTCTCATATTCACTTATGGTCTGTTCCTGTTTGGCTGTGATGCCATCCTGGAGAGAAATATAAGCTGCCATCAACACCTTTGCTTATAGATGGTGGAGATCGGCCTGTTTTTCAGAGTAGTCCTGTTTCTCTGACTGTCACTGGCTGAATGTGCTCTCTTCATCCTCTGACCTGGGAGTTGGGTCGGAGCTCGTCTGCCTGGCTGGGTGTTTCCTGGACGGGGCCACCTGTGGAGCTGGTTTACAGTTGTCTTTTGTATCTCTGCTTCTTTTTGTATGGCTGCTTTTGTCTCCTTGAATCCGCTCACACTGAGCCTGGTTCTGCTGGGAATTTCTTCCTCTTAATAGAGAGTTTTTCCTCCCCACTGCTGCCACAAGCATGCTTAGTGTGAGGGATTGCCTTCAAGTCAATAGGTTGATGCAATCAACTGGTTTTCCTTAGATAGAAAACTTTGAACCAATTTCACTGAATGATCTGGTTGAATGGTAAATTACCTTGAGATGACATGTTGTGAATTGGCGCTATATAAATAAACTGAATTGAATTGAACTCTTTTTTTTTTTTTTTTTAAAGCTGTCCTTTAAGACCATTGTTTTTTCATGACATGTTCTCCTGATTTCTATTTTAGAGGACTGAATTGGAAAAAGGACCTCCCCCTCAAATCTAAAATACAAAAAGTCACTGATTAAAAATAAACTGCTTAAGTTTCAAAATACATTGTATTGTGTGTAATGTATGCACAGAATAATAAAATACCCAAAGTCTGTTATTATATTCAACTTAATTCTAAACGGAGAAAAATGTGTGCCTATATTGTCAGGGTTAGCTTTGAATTAAAGGAGGAACTTTTAAATGTTTCTCAGTGAGAACTTGAACCCCTTCAACAGAAGATTAAAGTGCCTTAAAAGGATGTTTGAGTTTCCATGCAAAGCAGTCTGTAAGAGTTATGTTTCTGTTTCCATTAGTACCGTAGATGGTGAGAGTCACTTTCTGCAAGCGGTGTCATTTCAGGAGAACAAGCACTGCTGTTCTGAAGAAAAACTGTATCAGTAGTCTAGGTTTTTTTCTTTTTAATGATGCTCAGAATATGATGTTCACACAAAGATTGGGAACAAATAATGTCTCAACTTGTATTCTTCCCCCTAAATGATAAGCACTTTTCATTTAGGCAGATAGTAACTGAATTTCCTCATTCCTTTGATTATCTGGCTACTCAGCAATAACCTTCATTTGCTGCTTTTGTGACAGGTTTGCATTATGGAGAAATATAATAGAAACTTGTTCTCTTTAGCTTAACGATTCAAATGATACTATTTTCTGTTTGAATCTATGGCAGCATGTTAGAGCTTAATGTAAGAACTGAAAGGTTGCAAGTTTATTAATCATTGGAATGATTTAAGGGGTGCATCTAGTTTTATAACCTGGGCATAGGTTTTAGATCAGAGCTCCTGTAACTTAAAGAACTCTAAGAAAATATTGCAAAATGAAACTATAAGCAGCACTGGATTTTTGTGCTTAATGTCATCTAAGGTCACCAGCGTCATGCTTGAACAACAAAGGGAAATGCTGTCAAAAAAAAAACATGGCCTATCGTTTTCATTTTCTCTGTGCTCTAAAAGCGACGGAACATTTCTCCGTCCAGTGCCTAAATGCTTTACCTTATTATTTTAAAGCTAAAAGTTTTTTTGTTTTTTTTTGCCATCATATCTGGAGTGACTGCCATCGTTTGAGGCTACTGTGACAAATTGCTGTAGCCTTATGACTTTTATTGGACACATTTGTTGATGCCGACTGTAATCTGCTCTCTTCCAGAGAAATTCACTGGAACAGGAGGGAGATCTTATCAAACAGCATGGATAAAGTCAGCAAGTTGCTGTGTGTGTGTGTACTTGGGAACAAGACAACTAGACAGTTTAACATAAAATATTTATTGTAGCTAAATTAACAGATGTAAGTGGAGGAGGTTTCCATTTTCTTTTTTACATTGTACAAATCATCTAGTACCATTTTCCAGATTTACTGAAAATTCAAGTACAAACATTACACATGATTTATCATTAAACAGTTGTTTTAAGTGTAAACAATACAATTCAAAAAGAAAGATTAATATAACTTGAAAAAAAGTTTTTTTTTTTTATAATTGAAAAGCATGACACTGCTTACAGGTTTCATTGCATAATACAAAGAGATGCATTGTAGTTAAACTGCTTTTACAAATAAGCAGCGGTTTGCAGCTGGCGGATGAGGTTTTTGGCCATTGTTTTCTATTGCAAGAGTAAAAAACACTTTAATAAGGCTCTCTGTCTAAACGGTGTTTACACCTGGTGCAGTTTGAGCTGCAAACTGCCTGCAGGACAACAATCAACACTAGGTGGGTCCAACCTTAATGAATGTAGGAGAATTACTAGACATCAATAAGATTATGCTACAGTAAATCTAATAGGAGGCAGCATTTCTATCCCTTCACAGTAAAAATAATCAGCTGTAGCCTTATGTGTGACAATAGTTTCAGCACTAGAGGTAATGCTGTTCAATAACCCATAATAATAGAAGCAGTACTGATTATTTTGTTAAAAATGGCGGAATATTGTTAGCTGTCTGGGACCAGTTTTTGTTTTTAAGTTTTCTACTAGAACTTGTTTTAGATGCCAAGTGAACTGCCTGAAATTAAGGAGTGAAACATAAAAAAGACAACTGTTTAGTTACAAAAAGGCACAGAAAGGTTAATGATTTTAAGGCAACCCAGAGTTTAATTTAATGCTACAGCTATAAAACCACAACAACTTCCCATCACACTGTTCCTAAGGTTTTAAGCCCTTTTATGTGATGCTGTACTATTGCAGTGTTGCCTCTCTTTCTTGTTGCTGTGCTGAAGGAAGGCTCATATACTTCTCCCTCACTAGGAAGATGTATGTGGCTGTTTAGAAATAACACAGAGTCATTCTGTGTAAACTAAAGCAGAGTTTATAATCACGGGTGTTATTATGTTTTAAAACTATGTCTTCTAAATCACATGTCAGTAAAGCAGCTGACTGAGTAGTCAGCTCATTAAACTTGCACTGTTCTTACATAAAGAGCAGAAAAGCTATAACAGAGTTCCTTAACATTTTGAATCCAAAATTACATAATTTTCCTGGCTCAAATCTTCAGTTTCACGGCATTCTTGACATTTGGGAATAAATGATGAAACAAACCCTTTCATCCATTTTCCATAGTGTGGCATAGGGCCACTCCCCTGCTTTTGTGGCACCTTAACTGAATACATGCTGTTATAGGGACAGACGCCTGTAGATCCATATGCTGGTATAGAATATTGGAGATAGAAACATTTTATAAAAATATAAATCAATGTAAAATCTGCTACATTTATTCAGCTGCATTAGATTTTTGTTCTGTAGTAATTTCTCCTACCTACATTTTAAACATGTCTCTATTATTGTTTCCATAGAGTCTTGGAAAACATCGAAGGTAAATAACAGACTTTTCTAAGCTGTGAAGGAACCCCGGAATAAATAACCTTAAGTAAAAAGCATTTAATTTATGGGTCTCCATGTAATTTCTTTAACTCTTTCATCAAAATCCACACTAATGACAAATATTCTGGTATCAGTATGAAAAATTGTTCCTTTTCTGTTTTATCATATAGACTTTTCTGTTTAAATAAATACTACATTTCCGTTGTATTTGTACTACATAATCATACTACTTTTAATTTATCATACTATATAAAGCTAACACCTAGAGTGACTAGTCATCCTTAGAGATTAACTCTAGAGGCTTAAGGTTTTTTGATCCACTGGTTTTCTAATTATGGTGATGTAATCTTAGTCAGGGTTGATCTGAATACTTCTGCACTGGAAACTGCTGCAGAAACATGTTTAAATGGCCATGAAAAAAGAAAAAAAGAGAGTTGAGTGAATTCAAAATGCAACACGCTTCAGAGGTGAAGCAGCGCTGAAATGGTCCGACATACTCAATTTGTGCTTAAAAAAACAAACTCAAATAAGTGTGCTTAAGTTTTGAAGCAGTCCAAGCTGCATATATTGGTGCACCTTCAGCAGTATTGGTCATGTATTGTTGAGATGGAGATGGCGGGGGAAAGGCTGGGGGGGAAATTCCTTTAAATACTAGGAATGTTTTGTTTCCTTACATTCATGCTGGTCTGGAAAAATGCCTCCCAACATTGGTCTCTACAATGTGTCGTTAAGGTCCTCTCCATCCTCCCTCATTGTGTGCAGTGCATACCATACACTCCTCTAACTTTTCCCCCAGTTCACCCCCTCCCCCCCACCCAGTTATTGTTCTCTGCAGGGCTGTAATGTCCACCTCTTGTTCTGTTCCGCCTGGGAACTCGATCATTAGCATGAGCTGGTCTGGAGGTTGCTTTCGGTTAGGATGGAGGTGATAGTGGAGGGGTCGTACAGGCTGTCGTCGTCATCGTCTGAGCTGAGAACTGATGAATCCAAAGCTGGACGCATTGAGACTTGAGTTTTTCTCCTATCAGAAAGAGACAGCAATAAATATGTACAATTTAAAACCTTTAGAAGTCTTGTTTTAACTGGCATTGTGGCAAGTAGCAGTTGTATAGCTCCCTCCTCTGGCTGGTTAGGGTTAAAACATGTTACGCTGGTATTTGATGTGATGTCATTCTGCCTGTTGAAAATGAGTAATGCACAATTTCATCTACATTTCAAGACAGTTGTGTAATCTCTATCAGTAGTATTATGTCACAGATGAGAAACTTGCATACACTAATCATGATATCATTTTTACGAGTGATTTTATTCATCTTCTGATGGAAGGGGAGGAGACTGTATCTCTGTTAGTCAGCCAGACAGACAGCTGTGATGATCTCAGCTCTGTGAGGAAGGTTAATTAAAACTGAAACACCTACTTGAGCTCCGTTTCCAAAGCGGTGACTCTGGTCTGTAGTGCATCTTTGAGCTCCATTTGCTCCTCCATGTCTCTCTGGGCTTTCCTCTTCAGAGTTTCAATCCTCTCCAGCTCTGTCTCTCCTTCGTCCACCTGCCTCTTCAAGGCCTTTACTTTCAAGGTAAGCTGCAACAGGCATTACAGTTTCAATCTAACATGGCATGTTTCTGAGTGTTAAAAACCTTTTTTTTTTTTTTAAACATGATTATACCTGATCTCTCTGTTCAGTGTGAGCCTGTCTCTCCTCATCCAGCGTCATGTTGAGATCTTTTAGTTTCCTCTCCAGTCGACGCTGTGTCGACAGCATGTTGTTCTTCTCTCTTTAAAATACAGAGGGAAAGAAAATGCTATTTCTTTTCCCATAAATATCTTTGAAGCACATTTTCTGTGCCTTTTACAATGTACCTTTCCTCATTTCTCAGACGGTCTTCAAGCTCCTGTATTTTGTTTTCCAGCTGAGAAACTCCTGTTGAGGAGCGAGACTGACCCTCCATCTCAACCACACGGTTCCTTAGCTCCTTCAGCTGCACAAAAAAAAGTCATAATTTAAAAACCGAAGGGGATCATCAGTGAGGAACTGACTTTAAACCTTGTATTAACAGAGGTAATAATATGTATTCGTATGCACATTGTGACATTATAATTTATGGTTTATACAGTTGATTTTTGTGATAGAGCAGCAGAAACTAGACTAAATGGCAAAGTGGAAGGACAATTAGGTCCTTTATAACTACTTAACAGAGAAATGTGTTTTTCTATATAGTTTGGTGCAAACTAGGGCGGCAAATAAATATTATCTTGTTAATCAATGAATCTGTAAATTATTTTTTGCCTAATTGATTGATAATCAGATAGCAAAAGGTTCCTTAGAAAGGATTTTTACAGAATTTAAAACTTCCAAAACTAAAACTTTTCCACCTGAGGAGTTTTGGATAGAGCATATCGACCGACTTTTTAATCTTAAATGCAAATTATTTATTTATTTTTTAAATTTTGGTATAATTACTACTCTTAATAGGTTGCTCTGTCAGCTAAAGACATGTATTACAGTCTCTATACTCCATTTAACATGTAATCCATTGAGGATCATTTCAATAAACAATTAATCACAATTAACCAGATTAAATATTTCAACTCAAGTGCAAACTGAGAAACTAAACATCTGTTTCTTGCTGCCATTCTATAAAGACCCAATTGGTGGAGGGCACATCTAAAAGCTATCCAGTGAACAGCGAGAAGAGCTATCATGAGTCTCTGTGATTCATTGTCTCCTTATAAAGCAGGTCAGTATAGGGGCACATCAATTTAAGTCTTGGATGACAGATTAAACTGGTCTGACAGATATTGCTTTGTGCCTTTACACTAGGGCTGGACAATAAATCAATATATATCACAATTGGGGCTGCAACAAACTACGTTTAGCAAAACAATCGTTTTGCGAAACGATTCATCTGTCGATTATTTTTTCAATTAATAATTTAAAAGCAAAACATTCCTTAAAGAATATTTTTTACGAAATTAAACAAGGTGAAACTAAAACTTTTCCACTTGAGAAGTTCTAGTTAGAGCATATTGACGGACGAAAATGTTTTTGTTATCTTAAATTAATGTGTTAATATTTTTTAAAACAATTTTGATAGAGTTACTGCTCTAATTTGGTTGTTCTGTCAGCAAAAGGTAGGTTTTAGAGTCTATACTCCCATAAACGATTATTACATTACTGAAGTTTCGGAGGATTATTTCAATAATTGAATAATTATGATTAGTCCAATTAATTGTTGCAGCCCTAATCACAAAAAAATTTTACTCAATAAATCATTTTTGGTATTTCGATATACCTTATAGTCTATAATTACAGAGTCTCCTACACATGAGCATTAAGGTTCACCACAGACATGGAGCCTGTGGTTGTAGCTGCAGGCTGTGCTTAGTGGTAACAATCGTTCCTTAACCTTTATATTGGAAGAGTTTCATAGGAGTAGCAAAATAATTTCCATTAGTTTGTACAGGCATCTGTCTTTAATATTGATAACAGAACTATATCAAATTGAGCTATATTGAGAAATCAATAATGATAGGAAACATTTTGACGGTATCATACAGCCCTACCTCAACCTTAATATTCCTATATTATAATATTCATGATGTTTGATCACTAAGGATCGATAACATACCTCTGAAAAGCCCTGAAAAAATGGAATAAATCACCCAGCCTGCCTCTATTTGCACTTCAATTACTTTACTCATCATTACTAATGCAGGGTGACATACATGTCTCTCCATGGCGTTCTTATCCAGCTCCAGGTCCTGTTTGGAGGATCTCTCCTGCATGAGCTCAGAGCGCAGCTGGTCGATCTGGTCTCTGCTCCTGGACACTCGGTCCGTCAGCATCTCCACAGAGCTTTTCTCCTCGTCCAGCTCCAACTCCACACGCTTTACTTTGTCCTAATGGACCCAACAAGACACAAAAGTTCCTCCATCCTGTCTATTCTTCCTCTGAGTCTGTTTCTAGATGAGACATTAGAAATCAGAGCAAGGTGGACTATACCTCCAGGATGCGAATTTCACGTGCTTTCTCATTGAGGCTGTTTTTGCTGGCCTCCAACTCTCCCTCTAGGTGGCGCAGTCTGTTGGTGAGAAGCTCCTTATCAAGCTGGTGGTTGTCCCTCTCCTCACAAGCAAGTTGAAGCTCTTTCTTCTGTCGAACCATCTGGGTAATGCAAAAGAATGGATTTACAACATACATTTATCATTTTATGGTTTGCAAATTACAGATGTCCCTGGATCCCAAACTCTAATCATTAAAAACAGTCGAAATCAGCTTTTATACCTCTTCTTCTAGTCTCCTTAAATTCTGTTGGTTGCGTTCCAGCTCAGACTTTGTGTCGTTTCCATGGCGCTGTACCTCCTGCACCTCCTTTCGTGTTCGCTCTCTCTGCTCCTCCAGCAGAACTTTAAGATTCTGGATCTCTCCTTTTGAAGTTAAGTTCAGAGACTCGTACTAAGAGAGAGAAAAGGGGGTGAGAAACTCATAGATAGAGCTATTTCTTTTTCACCATTGATTCCTCTGAGAATATCGGATGCCATCCCTTCTTACTTCTTTGTTGAGCTTTTCTAAGGATCTCTCTTGCTGCTGTTTGGTGTCCTCCAGCTGGCTGATGGTCTGTTTTAGTGAGTCTCTGTCTCTCTCTGTGCCCTCCAGACGCAGGCCGAGTTCACGGTACTCCTGGCTGAGCTTGGAAGCTTTCCTCTTGGCTTCATCCAGCTCAGATCTGAGGCCTCTAACCTCTGCGTGCAGGGCGAGCTCTGCCTCTGAGCTTTCTGTAGCGTTGCTCTGCAACTGAGCCTGAGTAAACAATTACAGTTATACTTTTTTTTATGCTTTTAGAGCATCTCTTAGTAGGATTGGGTTTATGAAGACGTGTTTTTACCTCTAATCTTGAGAGTTTCTCTTTGAGCCTGGTGTTAGCTGCCTCCTGCTCCTTCTGAGCATCTTGGAGAGAGTTAACCTCTATCTGAGCTTTACCCACACTTGTTTTAGCGCTTTCCAGCTCTTCTTCAGTAAGAGAGAGCTTCACCTTTAAATGGCTAGCTTCTCTTTGTGCTTCAGTTAGCTTCTGCTCCAGCTCTGAGATAGCTGCTGGGCTGGGGAGCTATTTGGAGAAGGAGAAAGGCAGCAGAGACTGAGACATTTTGAAGATGTAAAGTTCAATACCTAACTATGATTTAAGGATGAGGGTAAACCAACCTGTTTATTTTTCTCCTGTGCTTTTGCATAGTCATCTTTGGCCCTCTGTAACTGGTCCTTCAGCCTGTCGATCTCATACTTCAGCTCAGCCTCCTGGTTCTGGTGAGTCTTTTTAAGGGAGATCAATTCCATGACTTTCTTGTCATAATCTGTCCTCTGTTTCTCCAGCTCTAACTTGACCTTCTGCATATCAGCGCTGCACCGCTGAAGCTCCTGAAACAGAGTAATAGTTTACTGTATGATTGTTAACTTGCTTCACAGGTTATTACACAGCAAGTAATGATATGTTGACAGATATCAAATATTTTTAGATGCATTTGGCATTTAACCAGTGCTTTTTTCAGGGTGGAATGCATTGGAAAGATCAGATGAACAAGCATGAAATGATTGTGTCTCCTTTAGAAAGTGTAAAACACAAATGTTCACCATGATTTTACAGTAGGGATGCTTACACTGCTGAGAATTTTATTATGAAATCTGCAGGAAAAGAGACTGAAAAGAAGGAAGGATGAGTGAAAATAAGAAGGACATAAGGAATGACACTCTGTAAAGAAATATCAGAAAGAAAAACTAAGAAGGATAAAGCAAGAGAGGGAGAGGACCAGGGGAAAAAAGGGCAAAGCAAGCAAGGAAGGGTATAAAACAGAGAAATGGAACTTCATTAAGGAAGGATAGAAGAACAGGGAAGGAAGAAAAGACAAAAGCAAAGAAGAAAGGACAGAAAAAGTCGAGAAAGAATGGAGGTAGATGAAAGAGCACAGAATAAAGGGAGGAAGGTAAAGATGGAAGCAGAGCAGAATAGAATGGAAGATGGACGAAATGAAAGGACTTATGGAAAGTTAGAAGGTAAAAGGAGATGAGGACATTTGGAAGGAAGGGGAAAGGGAAAAACACTAAGAAAGTGAAAAAGAAGAGACTGCGAATGAATAATAAAAGGATTGGAGCAAGGACACAACTTTTAGACAAGAGGGGAAGAAGACACAAATGTATTACAAACTTATTTAGTATTTGAAAATATTGAAAATTTAATGTTCAACATTTCTCCAGGATGCATTACAACCCTGTTTTAAGGAATATAATCCAGATGTTAAATGCATATTCTTCTTAGGAGCTAAGACACCCTGATAGCCAGTTTATTTCTTCACCTGTTTGAGAGTCTCTGACTGGCCAGAGTCAGCTGGCTGCTGCTTCATGGTGCTCATCTTCTCCTTAAGCTCCTTCAGCTCATCCTCAGACTCCTCTCTCTCCAGGCGGATTTGCAGAAGCCTGAAAAAAGGTGTAAAAAACACCCACATTATACAACGTACTGAAATCCTAAGAATAATGACATATTCAGCAGCTGCTGGATTTGTATCGGTAAAAATGATGAATTTTGATTTGGTGGACATTAGCAGTTTGAGCAATAACTATTTTTTAGTCACTAGCGACAAACTAATGTAAGATTATCCACACCTCTTCTCAGTGTTTTAATAGTTTCTGCTAAAACAAAGATGGTTTTGTTTTTAATAAACATCTTTAGAAAAAGATTTTAAAAAAACACTTTTAGCAGAATATCCATTGTCAGTACTAGATCATGGACGCCTTTGTTCAGAGAAGGCATCATGAATGAGTGAAGCTGTGAGTGGATAGTCTTAGAACAATGGTTAGCTAATCCTAAGCCTCTCTATGTCTACATATGAGAGCTGTAAAATCACTGAGCCTCACAGTGTTTCAGAGTTGCCGGGTGTCTCTCTGACAGAGAGAGGAAGAAGAAGTGACCAGGAAGAATAAAAGGGGGAAAAAGCAGAAACAAATTAGCAGAAAAGAAAGTGCAAAGAGAAAGGGTCAAACAGAAACGTTTAGAACAATCTGAGCTCCTGGTTTGACTCACTCCTGTTTGGTGCTTCGAAGTTCATCTCTGGTGGCGTGAAACTGCTCCATCCAGTGGTTGCTCTCGTCTCTGCAATCCTCCAGCTGCTGCTGCAAAGTGCGAACCGACGCGTTCACTCGCTGCCGCTCGGCTTCGATTCCTGCGTGAGACTACAGCAGAAGAAGCAGGGCCAGATTTTAATGTTTTTCCTGCTTATGTTAATCGACAGCAGTATGGCTTAAACCTAACAAATCATTGGGCTTTCTGTTTTCTAACTTAAATAATGTCAATCTCTAGATGGGACTAAATAGTTAAATTAGTTCTTGAATTCTGGGATTTTTCTTAATAAATCAGAAAAAAACATTTATTGCAAGTCAGAAAAAAGCTTAGACTACTGTGATCATCTGTTATGAACCTTAAAAACAAATTAAATATTTGAAAAATGGCTAAAGAATCACTTTTCCTCATTGGTCAGAAGCATTTCGACTGATTTAATACAACATAAGTTCCAGATTCTGTGATGATAAAAAGTAAAGAACATTTTGTGGGGATTTAATTTTAAAGATCAAGAAATAAATAATTGTGTAGAACACAAATAATTATGATTGGTTTAAAGGTTCTTTATCAAATGGAAATAAGTTGGAGGTGAATTTTTTGTTTAATTTCTGGGAGTCTGTACTTTGTAGGATCATGGACATCCTCTGTTTGTTTGTTGCACCACTTATTATTTAGGTGAATTTTGCCTTTTAAAGTCACAAAACATAGAAAAGTTTCATGGTGTGACTTATTTCTCACTTGTATATACACGTTACTGTTGACCAGGATGGAAACAAAAACACTACTGGGCATTAAACCACTTTGTTCAGCACTCAGGACTAGTCTCATTCTGCACACCTGAGACACCTGTTCCATGCTGCTGCGGAGCTTCTCCATGTCCACCCTGTATTGCTCTCGCAGCTTTTCGAGTTCTCGGTCATGTGAGGACACCTCTTCCTTCAGAGCTCCTTTCAAAGCTGTGAGCTCCCTCTCTCGTTGCCTGAGTGTCTCCTCCAGCTTCTGTTTCTGCTGGTAGACCTCTGCAAGCTGTGCCTGACTAGACACCAGGTCCTGCAGAGAGAGAGGAGGATGTGAGTATCGTAAACATGGATTCACTAAGAGTCATTTAATAAACAATAAAAAAAGTTAGTATGCATGCTGTACCGTCTTGCTGCCATTTTCTCTTCGTAGCTCCTCCTGAAGTTCTGCCAGGTGGTCCTCCAACTGTCTAACCCGAGCTTCAGCATTCTCCCTGTCCATACGCAGCTGAGTCAGCCTGCAACAAAAACAATAGAAAGAAAAGACTGTTGTATGTGGTGCAAATTAGTAAACAGTAACTACTTGTTTCATTTAACCATGACTCAGGTTGTGGCACAAAGCCGTCCTGTAAACTAGAGCATAACTGTGTGTGCACGCTCCTGTGTCCTCACTCTGATTGTGTTTCGTTTAATTCTTTCTTCTTCCGGTCCAGCATCTCCTGGAGCTGCAGGTTTTCATCCAGGCAGGACTCCAGCTCAGCTTTCAAAGCAGGGTCAGAATTGCTAGCGGAGACCTGTACACACAAGCAGGCATAAAGAATGAATGAGACCTCTGAAACATGAGCCTTAAAGCAGAATACACAGGTTGCTTTTAGGTAATGCTGCAGCGGTATGTCTTTACCCAACAATCAATATGCATAAGAGCTTAAGGTATTAAGAGCTATGTTTAAACCAGCATATAATGAGCCATTATAGTAGATTTTTGTATGATTACTTGTGTACATCTCCAAAGAAGCCTGAAGGCTTTCTGGAATAATCTGAGGATTAATCTGAAGCACACTCCCACAAACCCTCATTAGCCCTTCTGGTTAGATTAGTTAAAAGTCGAAGAAACGCTGGGGACTATTTCATCCTCTCAGTCAAACAGAAGAGCAGGTGAAATCTTCCTCATGTCCATGCAGCTAACAACAGGAGTTTATGTGTGGACTGCAAGTGAGCCATATAATTAGAGCCTAGTTACTCTCTAGATGCCAATCCCCCTTATTGGCAACTCTTTCCAATAAACAAACAAGCTGAATCAAACAAGCTGAATTGAGAAAGTCTTTATGTAACCCAGAAAAAAGTCCTGCACAGATTTACAGGACCATCGAGACTGGTAGAGCTCCATTCAGATGTTTACAGGCTTAAGCTATTTAAAGTGACTGTTTTACTGGTAATCTGATCAAAGATCGTTAAACATCACGGTCCTGTTGGGAGACTTTATTGCATAGATAACCAAGTCGAGTCCTGAAGAGCTACAATCTTTTCTCTTTAGATGTACCTTTTCTCCAACACACCTGAATTTGAAGGCTGAATTTTCTTAGCCTGTCAGTCAGCTCAGCAAAGGCCTGAAAACGAGCCGCTTGTTTTATTCAGGAGTGTTGGAGCATCTAAATTGAATTAAGCACTCCTGCTTTACTGTGACCATGTTTGAATAATTATTTTACTGGAGCTAAAATTGTTAAATGCTTCAACTTTTAATTGTTCTACCTGTATGAAAAAAGCACCAGCCTCACTGGCTCAAAAAGGACCCTTAAACATGATACAAACACCGCTATGATGGACCATTAATACAATGTTCGTATGTTCGGAAGTTTAACCTTTAAAGCAAACATCATTCTTATCAAAATAGCTTAATCAAAAAAATAAAAAATAAAAATAAATCCCATGAAACATTTCGGTTCATGCTGATGTAAAAGTTGTAATTCTGCTGCTGAAGAATCTTTGTGTTCAGATTGTTTTGCGTTTTTCTTGTACATCCAAGGCTGTTTCCTTTTACTTGACAGTGAAAGTTTAGGCCAAATGGTCAAAAGTTGGACTCCACTGGTTGCTCCGACTGGACAATGATCTCAAACAAACATTCAAAGCTTGTTTTAAAAAGACCAGGAACTAAATCAAACAGAACTGAACCAGTTATGTAAAGAAGTCTTTAAGAGCAAACCAGACAAAGTTATGCCACAAAAAGAGTGACTTCTCTGCAACCAATTAGCTGTATTAATCTAAATACAAACAGCAGTGTCGTATGTGTACAGTTGATTTTGCACATAAAAGAATGTTTGGTTTTATTCACAAAAAATGTCTCCATTATAAAAACTTTTTTTGTAAAACTCACTTGAGTTTATATGTAGTATATTAAGTTCCCCCTTAATTAATAGCAGCACGAGCAAATCATTACAGTATAAACCCAAATCGTTGGGCTTCAATAAGCGAAAGGAAACTGTACTCCAGAGGGGAAAAAACACACATTTGATTTTTTTAAAAGAAGGCTGGAAGAAACAGGACAAATATTGCGTTATGTCTGAAGGTCACCAAGGACCCGTCATGTCACATTTCTCTCTCTGCTCCACTCACCCTTCTATCGTCACGCAGGGCAGTCTGCAGTTGAGCCACCTTAGTCTCCAAGTCCCTTTTTTCTCTCACCCACTCTTCCCGGGGGCTTTCTTTAGGCTGTTAAGAGAAAGAGCCAAAAATGGGACAGAGGTGTAACCTCTATGTTGAACACAAGTTGGAACAATTTCTAAAGAAACATGCAGATTTAGAAAGCAAAACGAACCATTATGCTCTGAAACTTCTGAAAAATGCTTTTGACTTTGTTCCAGATGACAGCATCACTCTCAGAAGATCTAAAAAAAAATAAAAAAGGGGGAAAAGTTAACTTCAACACTCTCTGATCCCTCTGATGTGATCTGAAGAATGCAGAGGACTGTACCCCTGTCTCAGGATGTTGTACACCATCTTCATGACCTGCTCCTCCTCAAAGCTCATCCCCGCACACTGAACCTGGTCCAGTAAAAGGTCAGGGGTCACCTTAAGACATAGATCAGAAAACTACGCTTGCAATGTGGCATGCTCTGTTCTGTTTGTAGCTCACAGAAAAATCTGTTGTGATGCCCGACCAAAAAAAAAGAAGAAAATAATAAGGATTCTTACTTGTGAGTCGGCCAGATCCACATGTCTCCGTTCCTCTGAAGCCCACTGATTGGCAGAGGGCCCAGGGAACCTGGAGCCCGGGGCCTGGCCATGTCCTAAGCTGCGGTGAGAGGAGGGCTGAGGCGGGGTGTGAGGATTTGAGTGGTGGACTGGAGCCGTCGACCTGTGTTGTGGCTGTGTAGGTGAGAATCTTCCCTGCTGGCCTACAGCTATTCCACCATCCAAGCTGTTCATCTGTCTGTTGACAGGAGGCTGTGTCTGATGGGAGGGGGGCTCGTTTGCTTGGTGACGTGGGTCAGGGTATGAATGATTGCTCCTAACTGGTTCCACTGACCTGTGATACCCTCCTTGGACAGCCTGATTCCACATTCTCCTGTCCTCAATCCCTTCTCTACTTCCCCACACTTCCCCTCTGTCTCTCCTTACTGCACCGCTTCCATCTAGATGACCATAACTACCAGACTTTCCATCCCCAGGGGGTCTAGACAGATGAAAATCCTCACTGCTGCCACCTCCATCCTTGTCTAGGAGTGAGCCATGAGACTGAGCCCGGCGGAGCGCCCCTGGAGGGCCTCCCTCCCCTTCAGACTCCGCCCACTGTACTCCAGCCTCTGCCATGTCTCTCCTCCGGGGAAGGCTGCCGTAGCCTGAGGAATAGTTAGTCCTAAGCTGGACCCCGTATGAGTCTCCCCTCTGTCCATCCTTCAGGACTACATACGGCTTCCCGTCGATCCCCTTTACCCTGACCGCTACGCCATATTTGGAGGGAGTGTTAGGCCTGGACTTGGTTTGGGGCATTGGCTGTCCTCCTCTAGAGTCCCCGATATTGTTAATAGAATGGATCTGGACTCCATGGTCCATCGGGGGCCTTCGGCCGGAAGACTGTGAGCTCATACTGCAACAGAAAAGGAAAACCTGATTTAGTTAAAACAAGTAAGAGGCTGCATTAAGAAGTACTCTGCTGGAGCTTGAAATTTATTTTTTTAGGAAATGACTTAAAGTCTGGGCATTTTGGTTGCAGACAATTAAAAAGAAGAAAAAAAGGAAGCCAGCTGTAGCATATTATATTCCACAAGGCACCATATATGAAAGAAAGGGGGCACGGTGGAGAACAATCACCGAAGTGGTCGCTTTGCACATATAGCCAACAGCAAGGTGCCCATAACATAGAGAAGATGGGTTTATTAGTATGATTAAAACCTTAGACCCCAGATATGAGCTACCCAACCACAAGTACGTCAGTGAAATTCCATTACCCAAGCTGCACAGTGGGGACTAAAAAAAATATATTTTTAATTGAATTAAAAGAAAAAAACAAATCTGAGATTTTATTTTTAGGCCATATCACCAAGCCCTAAAGGCAGGGTAGAAAACTCTAAGAATAATCATGTTTTTATATTTTCTGCTGTTGTATAGTTACTGAAGAAAAAGTTCAAAGCTTGACTAAAGATGGATCTGAAATCTGTGACACATTTCTGATCCGTGCATGTCTACAAAGGGGCTGAATATTTAAAAACACAAACGAAAAAAAAAAAACAATAAAAACATGAATTTTAGAACCAGAAACATTCATGTTCCTTAAACTCTTTAAAACAGTGTATCAGACTTTAACCCTTAACTAATGATAACCTGTGCATGTTTGCTGGCTAAAAGTAATGTTTTGTAAACAGTGAGGCTAATGCCATGCTGTATTTCAGCCTTGAGAAATGCTGCATATGACCTTCTACTGTGGACCACAAAAAAAGAAAAAGCAAACCATATTAGCGTAGTTGTGTAAAATTCAACCAAGACACAATTATTTAGAAAAAAAAAGACCTTTCTTTGGAGGACAAAGTTTGTCTATTTGTTATAAAGTCAGTTTAAAAATCCTTCCCAATGTAAAAGGAAAAAAAAAAGACATAAAAAAAAATATTTCTGTCGTCCTCAAGCCAATCATGAAGGTAAATAGGCACATCTAAAGTTGATTTAACAGCTTCCTTCCACTGTTAGTTAACACAACTTGTAAAACTACAAAGTAAATGCAAAGAAAAGAAGAACAGCACTGATCAGTTTGCTTAGAGAACAACTCACCTCTAAACCGAAAAAGTTCCACTATATAATCACAATGCAAATATAAATATGTAACGGTGATACAGCCTGAACAAATTTACATAGTTATCAAAAGAAGCTGTTTGCATAGTTTGTGGATAGACTGTAAGCTGTCAAAGAAATGTAAATGATGCATTTGTTTTTTGTTTTTTTTCCAAAAAAAACAAAATGAAACGTTTGCATAAATCTTGAATAAGCCATAGTTTGCTCAAGGACAGAGCAAACTAGCCTGTTTTCCTATTACATAGGTCAGCCTGATCCTTTCTGAATTAAAAAACAAACCGTTAAAAGTTGAAGCCATTCAATCTTTTCTGATACGTTTTATGGAAGCGTTTTATGTTAAAAAAAAAGTCATACAAAGTTCTGTTCACCACAAGCCATGTCTAGGATGAAGCAATGATTTGTAAAATGAGCAAAGTTCAAGGAGAAGCTAATAAAATGAAACTTCTGGCCATGATGCCGAATAATAGGAATGCAGAAAGACAAACAATGGACATCAAACGGAGCACGACATCATCATATGTCACATGGTGGTGGCAGCATCATGGCATGGGGTTCTTTTTTTAAGCAGGTATAGGGAAGCTGGTCAGGACACATAGAAAGATGATTGGAGTCAAAAACAGAATCAGCCAAGGTTAGCAGATTATTTTCTAGGGTTCCTCCACCTCAACATAACATTACATTACAAAACAAGGAATAACATTTTTCTTTGACAACACTGATTCCTACTATCTGTGCAGAATTAATCCCCAAAGAAAGAATTTAAAATCACTGAACTCTTAATAACCAGGACTGTGGAAATAAAACTGCTTTTTCTCCAACAGGAAACACATATGTACTTCTTCCAGGATAAAGCAGAGATTTACAGACGTTGACAGGTTTCTGGTCCTTGACTGAGTGTGTGAACTTTGTTCATGTTGCTCCCTATTAGTCATTAACCTGAAAGCACACACCCAGACATGACTCTCCCTTAGTGAGGAGCAACAACTTTGGATAGTTTCTACACCTCACAGCACAGATAATTATGATCATTTATAGCGTTTAAACTGACATAATGAGGACAGATTCTATATTTACAGCTTCAATTCAACACACTAATTCCTAGAATGCTTTTTTCTAGCTCCACTCACTGGAAATAAAAACTGAACTGAACAGTCAGTGTTACCTCGTAATAAAGCCGTGCTTTAGCTTACAATAGACAACCCAACATTAAAGAGCTACAGTTTGCTACTGCGACTTTGTAGCCACCAAAACACTCCCTCCTAACCTTTCCTACTTTCTATCTCACTTTATAGCTGTGGGGGTGAGAGACAGAAAGCGGGCAGGGAAAAAGAAAGGGAGGGTGAGTAGAAAGATAGAAAACAGTTCACTTTTCTTCTCTTATCAGCGTTTCATGCGATAAAATCCAGTCAGGCCGTAACTGAAAGTGAGAAACAGCCTCAAAAATGCAACTCTGTTTTGCACAGAAACATTAAGTACTTTTCTAAAAAAAGACTGTTTCATTCCATGGAGATCTCTTTAAGAAAGGAGAAATGTTTTGTTCTTTTCTTATTAAAAAATACTTTACTATACCAGAAGAAAAATGACATCCACAAAGACACTGTGTTTCTTTTCAAAATGAAAAGATGAAAAGGTGAAGGTGACGCCTGCGCTGTCATTGAAGATGACACAAACAGGTTTTAAGTATATTAGAGGTACGCAGGTATTATCTGTAGGTGGATACAATTGCAAGGCGTGTAGCTTTTTTTCTTCCACACTCCAAACCATAAGAAACGTTGTGTCAAATGAAATATGTGAAGTCGTGCATGAAGTCTCACCCACAGCTGAACTGTACCTGTTCGACATCGTTTCACACAGGTATTACTGTATGTAGAAAGGCAAAGAGCAGCATTTATTGACGGAAGTGGCATGGACTCGGAGGAATGCAGAAGTGGTGCTGAAGCCGTTTTTCCTGTCTAAATATTCGCTGCACTGCATGCTTTCCCAGGAGTCTCGCTTTTTTTATATTTGTCAAAAGGAGGAGTGAAAATGCCAGTCTATGAGGAAGGGGGTGATGGCAGGGGAACTCATCCTATTGTCTGTCTGATGTGGGGCGGAAAACAAGGGCAGCGATTTAGAGAACGCAAAGAACTGTCCCCCTTTGGTTCCTTCTCTGCCTGATCTAATTTCAAAAAGCTACCTTCAATAACTTCCTTATCTCCAAACTCTAATTTGAAAGCTTTCTGTCTACACCTCTTGAAAAAAATCACAGCAGCACCTCTGATTACTACCTACGTCTGCAGGCCACAGAAACTAAACAGTCATCAATCCCTTAATCCAGCTTTTTAGCTTTAAAAATCATGACCATCAGGGTGATTACTTAAGCTGATTATCTGCCATTTGGAGACAGACCATCAATTTAAATATAAAGCATGCAAACAAAAACAAACTGATGATAGGCAGATCTATTCACAGGTAACGGAAGTCAGCCATTTCTTTTCTTGATCATCTCTGATTAGAAATGCTCAATGAATTTACAAATAGGTCAAACCTTTGTTAAGGCTTTAAGAATCAGCACGGTGTCAGAAAATAGGATTCCAATCATGGACATGTGCTTTGACCAATACCTGAGGGTGATGTTGTTATTCTACCACTTTTATCATGGATTCTGCAACAGTTTTTTTTCCTACGCTGTTAATGTTTGCTAAATTTAATCAAATATTTTATTTCATCTATATGTGTTGGATACCTTAGTATAAACATTTTAAACCAGCTGAATTAGATTTATTTTTATCCAGACCTAAAACTGGTAAAATCCTGATTGATATAATCACAATGCTATTTACATCACTAACTTTACTTCTGTTCATCCTGTAACTCTTATGTTCTCTTTTGTCTTTGGACATTAAACAAGTTAATGCATTTGAATCTTATAGCAGAAAAAAAATGTACAAAAAAGTAAAAAGAGGGTAGTTTAATAGCAGAATATATTAATGTTCATCCTTTCTAGGATTCCAGGTCTGGTTGTTATTACTGAGAAACTTGACAATAAGCAATAAAATATAAACACTAGACTGAGACATTTTAATTTTGTTTTACTTGCCCAGCTGAGGTGGGTAATTTTTCTCACATGATAATTTGATTTGGAGGCACCCCGTTGGATCCCAGATGGAACAATATTCAGAATTATCTGAACATTTGTTCTCCAGTCTGCTTAAAAAGAAATAATGGAGCTTACTCTCCCTTTAACTTTGAAATCAAATAATTAATTTATATCATGTATCGTACATGTTATACATTCATTACGTGTTTGTTCTCCACCCAAAACCTATTTCATTTATTTTTTTCCTATTCCAAAAACAGTCTCCCTTCTGGGTATAAATTTAGTAGGGTGGTCCAGATCAGGAAGGATTTTATCCTGATAGGAGCCTGAGTCACTAAGGATTATTTATTTTCTGACACTGAGTCCAACACTCTGATTATTAAACAGGATAATTAAAATAATGTCCTAAAGCTTCCAAAGGGGGCAGCCTTAAAGTGGAGCAAATAACTTACTAAACAATGGGGTTTATTGTGCTGCAGGCTCTGTTCTTTTGCTCTATGTTTTTTTTAATAGCAAAACATGTTTGAACCTTCTCAAAATGACAACTGAACAGCCTAGATTTGCAGCTCCAGAACAGTTAACTAGGTTAAGAAATCTGCTGCAATGTTCTGATAATCCAACAACTATAATTGGCTTCGATGAACTCAATCTTTCCTCAGTCTTCTGTTTTGATATGACTGGCTGATATTTCAGTTCTGAACCTATTCCAGTGTAGTTATAGTAAATCATATGCTGAAAAACTAAATGTGTTTGTTATGCTTTGCTTTAAATGTTGTAAAATCTACCCTGCACAAGAGCTGCCAAAAGATTAGGGCCCAGCACCTTTTAGTGAAAGAAATTCAAGACCATCTTATTGGATAAAATAATCTATCGGTATTTAGAGTGTAAATATACGGCATTTGGAATGAATTTCAAAAATGTTAAGAGATTCTTTCTATGAAAGTCATACACTGATAATTGAATTCAATACATTGTGCTGCTCTATTTGGGATAAAGACAGCAAAACAGGTCACATACCAGAAAGAGAGCAGCAGCAGACAATAGCTTTTCCTTTCACTGTGAACATTGTAAACAATGAAAAACGGCAAGTGTTTGTTAATCTCTAGCGTCATTTGATCAACAAAATAGAATGAGCACCTTTTAATACAGGTTTTATTGAAAATAAATATATAAATAGCTAATGATTTTTAAAAAATGTCTCTACAATATGCAACCACACACCTAGTCAGGTAGAACTGAGGGAACAGCTGATTTATATCCTACTCCTACCAGCACAGCAAGGATCTAGAACCAGAGACTTTGGCACTGATCATGCAAATAATACATAGAATGTGGGATAAATATTTATTAACACAAATATTCTTCAGTAACCAAAATAGAAAATAAAGATGTAGCTGAATGCTAGCATAGCCAGAGGACATTCCACATCTACACCTTCTGTGACCCGATTGGGCTTTTAACAGGTAGAGCAAGTAGCTCTAATTTGGAGAAAAAAGATATCCAAACAGCTATTTACTAAAATAGATGATTATTTGGTTTAATAAGCTTTGGGAATGCAACAAAACTAGACCTAACTTTCTCAGACAGACTTTTACTTTTTCTTCTAAGGGAAATGTTAACCGCAGCTTAAAAGTAACAGAACTCCCCATCTGCTCCCAGCAGACAGTTAGAAACCTTCTCCAGAGAGATATTCTCCTTCTCAGTTACATCCTTGACATAAAACCAGACCCTTGTCCTCTCTCCAAACTAGTTACTACTCCTCTTTCACATGCATACAAATGTCCATTTATTCCTCTTTTCCCATCCAAAGTAGCTCATTGGCACGAAAAAGCCAGACTTCAGTGTTACCAAGCAGTAAACAAATGACACCATATTAGAAGGACATAAGTATGGCCCTCCCTTCCATCACATTCCTGACACTTCCTCTGCTCCCCTCGCCTAATCAGGCAGGTTCTGGGATTCTATGTCACATGTGAAGGAATTAACTGCCTATAATGTCAAACCAGATTGGTTTTTGCCAAACTATCATAAGATGAAACAGTGGCACCTCATCAAGTCAAAAGATGTTATTAGTCAAATGTGAGACAAAACCCATGAGCCGTGCTTTAACGCTACAGTATAATCTGAGATATCTGTCATCTTCGGTTTCATCTGAGATATCCTTTCCAGTAAAGAGGAGAAACTGGTTGAAAGCAGGAGTCAAAAGTGTTTTATTTAATGACGGGAGAACTAGATTTAAGACTGAACAGCTTAGGTCTGTGAGCAATTACACCTCCTTGAAAACTGTGATTACATTGGCTAATACTAGGCTTACACTGTGGGATTTTTTTACCCTTTTCGGAGCGACTTTCCAATTGGGCGAGAATTTTTCCGAAATTTTACACATTTAGGCTGTTCAGGTGTAGGCTGACTTTCAGCCTGATTGTGTATTGTATAGGGGGTAACGAGGGGCGATCAGCCTTTTATGACCACCTCCGGATCAGGAATCGGAGGTCAGTCGACCGTCGTGGGCATATCGCTCAGTGGGCAAACAAGGACTCTTCTTCCTCCTCTCAGACGAAAACACCGAAGCATGGCGGGGGGTGTAAAATGCAGTTCTTTCTGTAAAATTGACAGACCGTAGTAGCCACTATTGCTCAGCCATGTCTTTGTCCAAAGTTTCATTCTAGTGAGCTTCATATTCGACTTCTACTGGTTTGGCTTCCAGATAGATGAGTCCCAGTAGGGCCATCTCTCTCCGGGGCTGAGTCTAAGGTGGTTTTTAGATGTGCAGTGTAAGCAGGTAGATCAGAGCGTTGGACCGCACATGCATCGTGAGCTGTGAACTCACACTGTCCGACGAAACCGCAGGGTTGCAACGATTTTCAAAAATCGTACAGTGTATGCTCGGCTTAAGATTTTTAACCAGGACTCAGCTGTTGTATTTTAGACTCATTTAGGAACAAAGTAACTACAAAGATGATCCAGATATCCTATTTTTGTATTTAGGTTTGAATAAATAAATGCAACTAAAATTCAATTGATTTCCATACTCAAAACCTAAAAAGTTACAAAAAGGAGGGAGTATAAAATGAAAGTCATCACAAAATACAACCATTATCCTAATGAGGGCATCTGAAAGTACATCAATTAGTTCTCAAGAAATTTTTATTGTTGTATGTCTATTGTATTCATCACAAAATAAGATTAAAAGCCCTGCTAGTTGCATGTTGGCACCATTAAAAAAAAGGCCTTGAAATTATGAAAATAACTTTTTATTACAATATAGCATATCAGAATTTCTTCCTGCTGAATTTCTTTATTCAGCTCATCCACCTTTGATATCTTAAACAAGTTTAATTTATCTGGAGCTTTAGTTGTATTTTACCATAAAATAAAACTAACATATAGTAAAAACCATTATATCTGACATTGACATTAATGATCTTTAGGAGAGAATTAAACTACGTTAAAGCTTTTTATTCCAAATAGCATTTTGATTTCATGTTTTTATAAAGCTATCACACTTTTACCAGGTGGTACAATCAGATTATAGCAAACCAATACAAAATGAAAAAAAACACTTGAAAATTGTCACATAAGTCATCTGCTGAACAAACATGGCATTTTCTATTTAAAATAATAATAATAAAAAAACAGAATCATGATCTGAATTATTATTTGTACCCTTTCCCCAACCCATTTTAACATTTCTATATTTAATTATCTTTTTCAATTGGAACTGATGTAATAAAGCTTAGTTTTGCAGAGACTCGTTGATTCGGGGCCCCAAGCATGTCCCCTAGTGGCCCCTAACCTTGAAAACAGCTGCTTAAAAAGGACAGGTGTGTGGTTGTCATTTTTTTCATAACCTTAATGTGTATATAAACGAAATGAAAGTCACTCCCTGTTTCACTTTTAAAAACAAAGTCGTTGTTTCACATTAGGGGACGGTGATTCACCCTGACACATTTGACTCAGATTTAACTTTGTTAGTTTAATTACTTTTCTTTACAAACGAGTTAAGAGATATAAGTAAAAACATGGTATCGCTGCAGCGTATTACACCTTTATATTCGATACGAGAAAGAGAAAAGTCAAGCAGCATCAGAAAATCCCAGATAAAGTGTATAACTGTCGGAAATGGATGATTGTCTGGTTGAGCCGTGTGGCGGTTAGGATCAAGTTCACACCGAAACTTACCTCTTCTCCTTCAAAGTATCTTCTTAGCTTCTCTTCTTATGTTTCCTCTCGTCTTGTCACCGAAGATACCCTAAATATCTCCCCATACGTCTGTCAAAGAACCATGTTAAACTATAGCCTTCATAAACGTCTACAGTAATAAGTTCACTGCGCTGCTGTTGGAACTGCAACCTGTTACCTTTTTCTCGGGATACTAAAGCTCCGCCCACTGCCATCAAATACTGCTCTCTGATTGCTCAGATCCCCTGGTGTGGGCGGGGCCTGGGATGTTTATCAACCTCTTAATCTCTAATTGAGTTTGCTCTACACAGTTATGACACTTTAACGCGAGTATTTAAAGTTTTGAACACTATAAAATAAATATATAAAATAAATAAGTATATAAATAAATATAAAAAAAAATAGTTGTAAGATCAAAGAGGCAAGAGAATGGAGCTGAACAAGACTTCCCTCAATCTGTCCACTAGATGGCGCAAATATTCCCAAAATGGTCACCAATGATGAGCTACAGTTTTACAAAAGACTCAACTTTATTTATCCTTATTGCCACATTGCCAGACAGGACACTGTATAAAGAGAGAGAAAAAAAAAACTTTATTTATCACTTGGGATTACTCCTTCAGGGAAATTCTGGTTCCATTGGTACAAAAAGTTAAAGCAAGCTGTCATGAAAGATAAAAAAAGAAAAAACAGCCAATATAAAAACAGTGTATATAGTTAAAAAAAACCCATAAAAATATAAAAATATCTGCACTGTAAAGAGCTAAGGGAAGACTGCACAGTAGTTGAACTGGGTTATTGCACTTCTACTGCAGACCTTATAAAATAAGTAAAAAATTACACAGGCTACACAGTAGTCAGTATGTGATATTACACAGTGACAGAAAAGAATATTGCACATGAGTGACAATAGGTAATGTTTTGCATAAAATGTCCAAGGAGGGGGGTGATGACCCTTGTCCCTCTTCCTATCACCTCCTCCTTCCCCCAAGCGAGGAGTTGTACAACTTGATGGCTTGGGGAACAAAGGAGTTTAGCAGTCTGTTGGTCTTACAGTTTACAGAAACTTGAAGCTGGGAAAGGAAAATACCTTTTTGATAGGCTATAAAGTATAAAATGACATTCACAAACTTTTACACATATAACCTGCTATTTGATACCATTTAATTCCTAAGTAAATCAAAAGTAAATCATTCCATGTGTGTCACTGTGAGCCTGTGCTGAAAATTCAGTACAACCAAACCTTCAGGTTCATTGCTTACTGTAAATTGGGATTTCATTTAAAGGTTAAGCTGTTTTAGTAAATTAATTCAAAAGGTAATGCTTACAAAATTTAGTGTCAATATTTTTGGAGTAGTCCATTAGAGTGGTCAATTTTCACTAGAATGTGGTAGGTTCAAGAGTAGAAAGTTTAGAGGAAGGAAAAAAATTTACAAGACAAAAGGTCCACAAGCAACAAAGAACTAAGGAACAAAGTTAATTTTTGAAGGTTGAGGGTTGATTAACAATGTGTGTGCCAGGTTGTGTGGGGGCTTTGAGGACCCAAATGCAGAGAGGAGTAGGCACAGATGAGTTTGTGATGATGTAATGAAAGGGAACCGAGGCAAAAATACAAAATACAAAAATACTGAAAACCAAACAAAAACCAATAAATGTCAGGGAAACTACTCGAAGGAAGCAAGAGACTAGAAAGCAATGAAACAACAGTAACAACACAAGAAACCAGCCTCGAGTGAGGGCTCTGCTGCTCTTTTAAGCCCAGCACTCTGCAAAGATTCTCTATGGAGGAGATGTATATATCACCTGGTTCAGGGTATCAATGACCTCAAAACACAAATATGAAAGACAATGACTACCACTCATTATTTTGTGCAGGGAAAATCCTAAATCAAAACAGTATCAAAAGAGTCTTACCAAGTCTAAGGAGCAAAGGGGTGTAGAAAGGTTCTTAGCGGTCTATGGTCCTTTTTGAATGAAAGGAAATTATCTGATTCGAAACCATTTCAGATTAAATATGTTCAAAGTGTTCCACTATAATCTAGAATTTAAAATCTCTCTTTTAATTAAACAATACTCAAACGACTCAAAAACACACCTCAGGATATAGCCCAATTTATTGATAAGCCTCTTTAAGTCACTTCTCTGGGCTCCCTTCAACTTATATTTCTTCACAACCTTCTAGTGTTTGGTATTCTCTTCATTCCCCTGAGATATGATGACGATTACTCTGACACATCCCACAAAGCAGTTAAGTTTTACAGATGACTGGACTCATCATGCTGGAAATCCTAAATGTGTCTGACACCATTTGACTTTAGTTTAGTCTCTCCAGTAGCCATACTCTAATCATAATAGATTATTTAGGTCTGAGAAGTTATGGAGCAGCAAGGGGATCAATCTAAGATGAAATGTAGGAGTTTATGTCTAAAAACAAAGAGAAAATTCAACAACTGATCGTTATTCCCTTATAGTGTCATCTCCTTTATGATAGATCTGAAAACAAACAGCCTTGAGTTTGATTATTTCAAATTTTTGTTGCATGACGTTGAGCAACCTGACTTAATGGGTTCTATTTCACATCCTCACGAGACTTTTCCTCCCACCTCCTATTCCAAACAGCTCCTCCCCACATCTCCAGCTATATCCACTAACAGCAGCTTTCCCCTTCCTCTCATCACTTCTCTCGGGCGGCTTACTGAACGCACTCGCATCTCACGGTCTGGGAATGGGATCTTTACTGGGTTCAAAGAAAAACTTCCAGTTCTTTCGGGTTTACGCTCTGCAGAAGCTTCTTTTCAAACTGCAGGGATAGTTGTCGCTGCAGGTGCAGGATGATCACAGGGCAGCCTCTGAAGAAACCTCTCCAAGACGCACCAGAGGTCCAGTAAGTTTCCAGCGCAAGAAACGTTCATATTAAAAATAAAAACAACAAAATTATTCGGAACAGTTGGATTCTTTAGATATAACTGCGTAACAGAGTCATTTCAAATCGGTAGTGAGCAAATTACGCGTGCGTAAAAGTTGGAGCTTTTACGCAAAGGCAAAGGTTAGTCTGAGCAGGCCCCAAATGCAAGGTTAAGTTAAAAAAAACGGAATTATTGGCGTTTGAAGAACTAAATTTGCAGCCATGGCAAAATGGTTTCGAGATTTCCCCATCAATCTGAAAAACGGGACTGAGAGAGTTCGCTCGGCCTCCGAGTCTGGTTCACAAACTAGACCCAAACCTACATTTTCACGCGACAGTTTGAAAGGAAACCAACGCAAAGATGGAGGAGTGGGGAGCCTCTTAGCGGGGAGAAACAGGAAAAACTCTGCCACAGAGCTGGGTCGCAACAACGCCGGGTATGGAGGGACTGTCTGGGACAGCCTGACCACTGGCAAAGGTCGAAAGAACTCCAAAGCTGAGCCTGGAGCATCAGATGAAAACCGCCCGGTGAGGAGCTCCAGTCTGGCGCAGGCGTACATCAACAGGATGATCAAAGTGGACAAGCAGGACAAGACCCCCAAACTCGATGGGATCAGTGAACAGAAGCAATCAGGGAACGAAAAGGCAAAGACCGACATAAAAACTGCGGTGAGTCGTTTCATTTTGAAATAAAACCTTTAAAAAAACTGCATTAAGTGCATTTTTTCTTTCCTCTCGTTTTTCTTTCCTATCTTTAAATAAAACAAACAAAAGAAGACTAATTGCAACAATCATATGGTTTTTCACACTTCTTTTTAAATTTGAAACAGATAAGTAAGTGATTAAATCGCCTTTACTTTTAAATGAACACAAATTAATTCATATTTTTTCCAATTATTTTTAATTTAAACATCAAAAATGTCCTTGTCTAAAGTTACTAAGATTGTCATTATTGTGTTTTATGGCCTTCATTTTACAAAAGAAAAAACAACAACCAGGGAAACAACTAACTTAGGTTCTCTATTTTTATAATTTGTTATGGATTATGCTTCAACCCAACACAGAAACAGAGGAAGAAATATCAAAACCACATGCAGGCTGAGAGCGATCAATGCAAACTAGAGAAGCTCTTTGAAGGCTTTTCTTTGTGCGCTCCCTCCTTCCCTCAGTTCATATTCAGTTTCCATCCCTCTCTAAAAGACACAAAAGAGCTCCAACACATTGTGTCACATCAAACAGGCAAAAAAAAAAACAATGCACTGACCTCTTTGCACAAACATTTCCGCTTGTCTCCCTATTACTTGTTACTCAGTCATGGACACCACACACACGCACCCTCTCACCCCAACACACACACAATACTCACAAACCTACACTCATCTTTGTTCTCTCCTTAACTTTTTAGTTGTTTATTTTTCATACAGAAAAGCATGACCTCTTCATTCTTTTTCTTCCTTTTCATAGTTGATAATCTTGGAGGATTACGCAGATCCTTTTGATGCAGAGAAAACCAAAGAGCAGCGAGAGGCAGAGAGAGCAGGAATGAATGACGGCTACATGGAGCCATATGACGCCCAGGTCATCATCACAGGTGAGATCAAATTTCCACATCTAATAGGTCATTATATTTATCTCAGAGTCTGAGATGGCATCCTGAATTTACAAATCTTAAACTCGTCGATGATCGGAAGTTGAAAAAAAGGATTCAGTAAATCAAGACTTCCCTCCTATAAAAACATTGTATTGTTTATGTGTTCCTCTGTTCATTCTCGCTCGCTGTATTTCTAAATAATGACTTTAAAGGGACCTGGAGCCAAACTATACCCTCTGTCTGTGCAAGGCTTTCCTCCTGGCCGGCGGCTGCTATAGTAACACTGTTGTGCAAGGACAATGGGTGCAGCTTCCTCTTCCAGCTTCCTGTCTCCTGCCTCTGTTTCCTTTGCCCCATTCTCTTGATAGAACATTGGCTCTAAATGTGCCCATGCACTCCAACTACTCTGGACACACACAAACACACACAGAGGCAGACACATTTGACACGTTAAGGTCCCAAGTGTGTGTGACAACAATCCAAAGAGTCCTCCCCTCATCCTAACACAACTCCTCTCCTGGTCCCGGACTTACCCAATCACTTCCCAGCAGTCAGGAAGTGGCCCGGTCACCCAGCCAATCAGCAATTGCACTGACCTTTTCTTCCTGCAACTCTATTGTTTGGCCACACAATAGTGCAGACACATAGGCTACCTGTCAGGCTGCAAGGAAACACAAGCAGTAAAAGCCCCCCCCCCCCCCCC